AGCTGACGTAAAGCATCTCTTTAGCCCAAACTAAACCTTGTTGCCTCTTGCTTGCAGTCGCTTCTAATCAAAGAATGTTCTGCAGTCATTATGTCTGCTATTGTGCTTGTCAGAAAAGAGCGGCAGCAGGTGGGCCTGCACAGAGACACCTGGCCTACCTGAGCCATGTGGGGAGTGGAGGACTTTCTTTTTTTGCACATTTATGTACCTCTTTAAACCTCTCTCTCAGGGGTATAGAAATTAGAGGGAACAGGGCAAAGATGGCCATCTGGGGGTAAACAGATGCTGAACTGAGGTCTCTCCCTCCCGCCCAAAATTAAAATCTCAGTGAAATCTAAGTCAAGTAATATTGCCGGACCTGAATGGTGGAAAAAAACGAGAGAACAAGGGTCTCTAACCACAGAGATCTCAAATATCTGCCTCAATGAGGCGCCGCCTCTCCAGCGCACCCACGGCAGATAGCCGCATGGCTGCCATCTTGTAAAATGTGAAAAGACCCCTCGCTCACCAACTGGCAGATCCTCTAGAGTCTCCGAAGACATGGGCATCAGAAAACACACCGAGCAGTCACACCTGCTGCTGTTTGTGTGATAAGAGAGCCTAGGGCAGGAAAGGACGATGGAGTAGATATGGATTTCAGAACAGGACACCTGTTGGACAGCTGTAGGACTTTGTCAGTCAATTTTGGACATTCCGAACAGGAAGTGAGGGCTAAGAGAATGAGTGGCCGACAGCTGTAACCATTAGACTTCCAGCTGTAGGTTGCAGAACACCTCAACAGCTGTGTTTTTGCGTCTTATCTCTTAATCTCATTTGCTAATACATTACATGGCCATCCTCAGTATTTCTCTGTACGTCCTCTCACAAGTTCATCAACACACGTTTAATGCACACAAAGGCCTGTATGCAAGCGGCTGGCAGCAGTCTTCCAGCGGGAATGTATTGTGGGAGTATGGGGCGTGTCCTGAGGTGTGCGGAGATTAAGGGGACACTTTTATATGTCGCACCTGTTGCGCATCCCACTCAGGTTTCCCCTATTGTTGACAAAAGGCAAGAGACTGTTATTTAACGCTCACATTGACTCCCAGAGCCGTCAACTGAGCTGCTGTCACAGTTACTTTCAAGCCGCTCGGCGCCATCTCCCTGGGGAAGCACAGACGGAAACAGCGCTCAGGTTCACCCTAATCTCAAATTCAGCCGTTACACTGTCAACAGTAGGGTTCAAACGGGCACAACTCTACAAGGAAGCGTGCTGACTATTTGAGCTGGCAACTGGCTGTAAATCAATTGATTTTCATAAGGGGGGCATATCACAAGAATTACTTTTCCAAAGAATTTTTGACTGCTCTGAGAGTGATATTCCCTTCTTGGGCCAACAAGACCAATATACCAAACTGGCCCATACATATCAGCTTAGAGCTTAATTCACAAATAACCAACAAATTAAATGAAAAAGGGAAGAGGAATTGTTGATCACCTCGTAGAGGCCAGGAGGATAATGAACCCAAGTTTGCCCTCAATGACCACACAGTCCTTATCCCCAAGAGGCCACACCACAGACTCCAACCTCCTGCCACCAATCTGAATTCCTAGCAGTACACTGATGCCTGCAGGATTAGACCGGTCAGCTGAGGGCCCCATGAGGCCCTGGGATGCGTGGGGTGTGGAGGGAGGGATCAGTTAGGTCACTGACAGGCAGCCACAGGAGCTTAACCAGACCAAAAGCAGGTCAGAATCCAGCAAAAAGGGTGAGAGAGTGGTGGGAATGAATGCAAGGGGTTCAACGAGGATGAAACAACCTTGAGTTGCAATGACTTGAGGCCCACTGGCCTGGTGAACCTTGTTAAGTAAGGCAACAGTAAAAGTTGACCCAAGAGTTTAGCTGCTTCTTAGAAATCTAATAGCAGTGTTGTAGCACTCTCACTCCAGACAAGACTGGACTCTGACTCAAATCTGTCTCAAGTTCGAGTTCAAGAGAAGAACTGGTCTCGACTAGTTATAGAAAAAATGGTCTTGAACTTGAGACCGACTGGCTAACAGAGCTGTTAAAAGAGGAAATGTAGAGATAAATTTTGCTTGCTTCTTATGTAATTATTTTCTCATGTAATTAGGATGGCAAAATGATTGGTAAACTGCATAGACGGAGCGGAAATATACCACACTACAGGACTGATCACTGATCAAAGCAACAGACCATCTGGTGAAGATGAGGCTCTTCATATAACTCAAGGGATGAAGAGAAGCCGTACAGGAAGGCCACGTTTACAGACATCTCACCTAAAGCCAGCTGCCCTTGTGTTTAGGATCTGGCTGCATATGGTGGGACACAAAACTACTCTTAATGAGGACTAGCCACTGTCTCTGCCTAATCTCATTAGGGCTAACAGGATTGCTGGATTGCCTCTGTTGGGATGGGGAGCAAGGGGTAATCCAGTGTAGGATCCTCAGAAACCGGGGTCAGAGTCCAAAGGGAATGCCCGGATAATGTTGTGAGGAACAGCAGAGGCGGTGAAGGCCAAAGACTCGTTTAGTGGAAATCCAAGGTATATTGAAGACACTGGTTTGGTCAAGGCTGAAGTGCTTACAGGAAGCAGTGTAAGGTACATGAGGAACCCGAGCTGTACTTGGCGTGTTCATGAGAGTACATCAGAGATGTAGCAATGTTCAATTTATGAACAAATCATTCAAGTCAAATCTTGTATAAAAAAAAAAAAAAATGGTCTGAATAACTCGTTCACAAATTGGAATGTACAAGTTCTCAAGTTTAAGTCAAGAAGGTTTGTAACAACATTTGACAAAATGATTATTTTTGGGAAAATTATTTATTTAAAGGGGTCCTATTATGCTTTTTCACTTTTTGAATTTTAGTCAGTGTGTAGTGTGTATGTTTGGGCATAAAAAAGATCTTCAAACTTACAAATCTCAAAGTCCACTCCAAAGGGAGATATTTCGTTTTTTAAAAATCCCTTTTCAAGAACTACAACGAATGGCTCGTTTGGACTACAGCGTTTGTTTTCCGGGTTTTGTGATATCACAAAGCGGCCCATTAGAATATCATTAAAATAATTCTCGCCAATGGAAATTCGAATGGTTGGGGGGTGGGGAGGGGCGAGGTTGTGGTTAGAATGCTTGGTTGAGTGCATCAGACAAGACGACGAAGAAGTGCCGCTGTAGCCTAGGGATGGGCGATATGGGCTTTAAAAAATATCACGATAATTTCTGATATTTATTGCGATAACGATATCAATGACGATAATTTAGGGAATCCTGTTTCTTTAGAGCAGTGGTCGCCAACCTTTTTAGGCCCAA